TTAATATAATTATACATAAATAATAATAATTTAACTTGATCTAACCTGGTAGGCACACACATGATCTAAGAATTCATCAGCTGCAAGTGAGAGTAAATGGCTGGGAAGAAGTCAGTCCAGTATCGGTAGACAAAGTTGGAACGTTTTTCCGATACGCTGCACCAGACAAGAACTCATCCTCTTCTACTGTAAGTTCTGATTTTGAGTGTTAGTTTTAATAGAATATATTATTTGAGAGTAATGGTGTCTCCAAGATTTTGATCTTAAAGCAGCTGCTGTATGAGATTGTCCTCTTTCCAGTTAGCGGTCAGAGCTTCCAATGACAGACCCAATATATTAGTGACAATGTCATGGACTCACGGAGGTTGAGCTTTAAATCAACACAGCATTTCAGCAGCTATTTTTATTTCTTCTATTGAAAGAATGCTTTTCATGTGTTTAATTTACTTAAAATAAACAACACTGGCAATTTCCTGTAAGCCTAGAGATTGTTGAAATATGTGGCTGCTTAGACAAAATATACTTGTCATGGAGGAAAAATGCAATTGTAGTAATCGGCAGGCTGGCAGTTGGTGGTTGAGGCTCAGTGACAAAAATGATCTTGTGGATTTTGAAACTAGTTAAGTTTTGAGACTAGTTACTGTAAATTGTTGAGCACTGGAGAAATTGGAAGTTGAGATCATTTTGGTATAAAACAGGATTAGCATTTAATTTCATGATACTACTGGCAAGAGCCAGTAGTCTCTTATTTGAATTGTTTCTGATGTTTTCACAGTGAAGCGTGAAAAGCATCATCTCTCCCTGTAACTTGATTCTTGAAGGAAAAGGATGCAAAGTAATCAGAATTGCTGTTCAGGAACATCTTCTGTAGCTGCGCTTTCTTTTTTTTAACAACCTTTTTCCTTCACCTTTGTTTCTTTTTAAAGCAGTATTACAAACAGGTTTTGCTAATATAGTTCTGACATGTTTTCCAAGCTGTACTGAAGATCAGAAGCACAAAGTGATGAAAGTATTTAGCTTATTCTTCTGTAGTGATGTTCTGTATTACAACTGAGAATAGTATTTTAAAATTTGAACAACTTCAACTTTCTTGTTTACTTTTCTCCCAGCTTGGAAGCCCAATAAGTAGAACAAATATAATACATCCACAAGTCTATGTGAGTATATATTTTCATTTTTTGAGAGCTTCTTAAATAAGACTAGCATAATACTACAAGTGAGCTGGCTTTTCTGTCCTTCTAGAACCTTTTCAATAAAAAGGAAACAGAAGTCAGGCGAACAAAATGAACTTTCAAATCAGAACAAGTATTTAACATGACTTACTGTTCCTCAGCAGTGTAAATGGTTGTTTCAAGAATGGGTCTTGAATTCCAGCATGTGAGCACATTTAAAATGTGGTTTTCAGGATCGAAGTGGCAATGACTTTGTGTAATGTAGGAGATAAAACACCACAGTAGAAGGGCAGCTAAGAGTGAGGAAAGTATGAATATTTTAAGAAAGCACCACCTTATTTTTTAGTTTTGACAGATAGGAATAATGGGTGACTGTTAATTATATGAGGCTTGGAATTCAAACTCCATGAATTTATAAAATAAGGGAATAGTAAGGTAGTGCATAGTGTTCTTTTAGGATCTATATTGCTCTTGCTTGAACTACATCATTTTGAAAAAGATATTGGAGTTAGTAGTATTTACAATAGTAGTAGTTATTTTTATTGTGTTTTGAGGAGGAGGTACAGGATTACAAGTCATTATTATGAAACTATGTATACCTTAGGTGTTGCACGTGGTTGGACTCAGTTGGCAAGTTTTTACTTCAGCGGTTTCTGCTTCAAAACCGAGGTGTCCCTCTGCTACATGTAATCATTACCTGAGCTTTTTAATGCTTTTAAATATCTTCCAGTTTTCTTCATTGCCTCCAGTTCGTGTAGTATTTGAAGTTACTATGGAAGGTAGTGCTCGGAAAGTGATAACAGTCCGTTCAGCCTTGATTGTGAAGAACAAGCTGGAAACACCAATGGAGCTTAGACTAGATAGTCCTTCTGCTCCTGACAGTAAGTATTGTATATTCCTTCCACGCTATGGGGAATCTTTAGCTTCCTCCCCAAGAAGATTCACCACTGTCTCTAATGGTTGACAACAAAGTAGACCACCCTGAAGGGGAAATGGGTAATGTTAAGAAGAAAATGATCAGCAAGGTAAGCTTAGAGAACCCAGCAGGATTTTTGCTTATTGTTCAGGTAAACAGGGAAAGCTGAGACTCTTGTAAAGACTGAATCTTGTTTCTGTATGTAGCATGTTGTATCTTTTAGCAGTAGCCTAGAAGGCTTCGGGTGTTAGCATGAGAAAGTGCAGTCTAGAAATGTAGTGATATGCTCATAATGTACCCAAAATATAATGAATGAGGTCATTTTGAAATAAGCTTTTTCGCTAAAGCATCTGAGAAGAATTTGAATTCCAGCAACCTTTTAGTCTGCTTCCAGTTTCAGATTCACACACCTAAATTTATCTGCTGCCAGATTGTTAATAGGGCTTAAAACAACAGGTTGGTGTTTGAAACATTCATAAAGTAGCTAGTGTTTTATGTTAAAACAAAATGTGTGGCTTCAAAAATTTGAGGCTTACTGTTTGAAAATTTTATACTTTTCAGTAAAGGGGCCTGTTTTGATACGTGTGTTTTCTTCTCTGGTTGCAGAACCTGTAGTTCTTCCAGCAGTTATGCCAGGAGATTCCTTTGCTATTCCATTACATCTTACATCTTGGCGTTTGCAAGCCAGGCCAAAAGGAATGGGAGTGTTTTTCTGTAAGGCTCCAATTCATTGGACTAATGTTCAGAAGACAGCAGAAGTATGTAGCAGCAAGCGAGAGTGTCACTCAATGGAGTCTGAAAATAGCCGATTTTTCAGGTAATTACGACCGACTTACTTCTCTGTGAGCTGTGTTATCTGCTTCTGATAAATGAAATACTGTGAAAATAAATAACAGGAAGAAAATACTTGCAGATGAAAGCTGCTGCCATTTATTGGGATGTTTTGTTCGGTCTGTTGAATGAGAAGCATTGAAACATAATGTATTTCTGTATTCCTGTATTTCTGCAGGGCTTCTTGAAGCCCCTTTATTAGCAAATGTCTGAAAATACAAAGTAAGCATACAATATTTATACTTACTGTAAAAAAGAAAATGTTAGAAAATAGAACGTAGACTTAAATTATGTAGTCTCTCTTACTGAGAATAATGAGTCGTTTGCCATTGTGTATTTGCAAATACTCATTTTTTTGTCCTGAATGTGCTGTGCTCTCTTCGAAGCCCAAAAACGGTGCTGCGTAGTGAGGTCTTAATGGAATTTTGTGGTTATCTGATCTGATGGATTTAGTGATACTCTCAATGTAGGAAATACTAGAATACAGATTATGGGAGTTGTTTTGGGAAATGACCTTTGCATACTATATAGTTACTGCTGTGTCTTAGTTCCATAGTTCATTTCTTAATATGTTGTTCTTGAACGTATCACAGAAGGAAAATTAACAAATTATTTAAAATGAAAGTTTACTTACTCAATTTTTTACCCTAACTAATGAAAAACTGAAGTGTCACATGGCCAAAGCAAGGATATATCTACTGGGACAAAGGACACATTCAGCTTTTATGTTTAAGAACGTGATTTTCGTTTACTTTAACAGTTAAAAACTATTTTTAGTAATAGTGGATAACATGTTCCTGTGATTCTATGGAAGTTGGTTTTAAAGTTGGTAAAAGCAATTTTCTGTTAGGTCTCTGAACAGATGAGCTTTATTGAGCGACTAAATTAATTCTTTGATTAAATACCTCACACTCAAACTCCAAAGTGATTATGTGGAGAGCAGTTCTAAATGCTGGTTTTGCTATCAGTCCTGAAATTACAGCATGTTGTGATATTTAATGCAACACACAAAGACAAGGTTCAATTATTCCGTCAAGTTCATTGACTTATTCTCACATATGTTTCCCTTCACAGGTTTTGTGTGGCTATAAAGAAAGAAAATTACCCGGATTACATGCCTTCCAGCATATTTTCTGACAGTGCCAAACAGATTTTCAGACAGCCTGGGCATACTATTTATCTCTTGCCGACGGTGGTAATCTGTAACTTGCTACCTTGTGAACTTGAGTTCTATGTTAAAGGAATGCCAATCAATGGGACGCTAAAGCCTGGCAAAGAGGCAGCGTTGCACACAGCTGATACATCTCAGAACATTGAGCTTGGTAAGGTTCTTTTTCAGATACCAATTTCTGATCCTCCTAGAGGAATACCTCAATATAACTGTTTCTTGTACAAGGAACTATGGTGCAAGAATGGAAAAGTTAAAAAAATTGAAAGCATTTATATGATTATTTCATTAGGTTGCAGGGCTTCTTATAGTTAATAACCAAGTGCACAGATCCAAAAAAAATTACTAATATTGCCATCATTCCCCCAAATCTGTCAGCTGTCTTGGTTTGTTCCTTATTTGGCTCTTTTCTCATTTTCCTGAGAGTGGAAACAGTTGGAAACTGGAGAGAACAGTGATAAATGAAGGGAATAAATCAAATAAGTTCCCAACATTTTGGGTGGTTTTGCTCTTTTCTTTCTGGCAGAAAAACTTGGTGTTGAGAGGATGATAGGGAATTATTCAACACTGGCTGGACTTCTGATGCCTAAGGCTGTAATTAGCCCTAAGCAGGGTTCTTTATAGAAGTTTTTTTGCTGTTTGTGACTTAAATTGAGGCGTTTCTTCATGAGGTCAGAGGTTACTACACTGGGCAGATGCAAAGGTTAATCTGGGTAAACCATATGAAATAGTCAGAAAGACCAAGCCGTGTGAAACACCAACCTGTACGCTTATCAGAAACTAATGTTTCTGTGTGGGTGATGTTTGGTTTTATTTTGTTTTGTTTTTATAGGGGTGTTGCTAGAAAACTTCCCAATCTGCAAAGAGCTGTTGATTCCTCCTGGCACACAAAACTATATGGTGCGGATGCGATTATATGATGTCAACAAACGACTGCTAAATTTGACCATAAGGATTGTATGTCGTGCTGAAGGTTCTCTAAAAATACTAATTTCAGCACCATATTGGTTAATCAACAAAACAGGTAAGTTTACAGTGTTTTCTTTCATACCTGTAATCATAAACTGGGCAATAAAGATTTTTATGCAGTGTTTTCACTTCCTTTTTGGCCTTGTAGAGCTTTTAAGCACTACTTAAGAGGAATTAAAGTTGCAGGATTTTTTTTTTTTTTTGCAGTGCCTGCAACTGTTGTTTGATTCAGATAACATAGACTTTTCAGTTGCTATATTACAGATTTTCAAACATTAGCTTTTGTACCCCTAAATAAGTCAACATAGATTAGATCACTGTTAAAATTGTGGTTTTCAAAGACTGTGAAATGCCTTGAGAAAGCAGCAGGTCTAGATTGCAGTTATTCTATGTTAACATCCATTGACACTTTCAGAGGTGCAAGACCTCCTTTTCTGCATGGACCATTCCACGACTTGCAGCTGTTAATAGGTCTGGCTGTTAAACGGGTTAGCTGGAGAACCGGGAGAACGCATGTAGACTAACGGCTAATATTAATTCCTTAACTTGAAGTAGTTTTTACCATTCTCACTTAATTTGTGCAAAGGTGAAGTGTAATTTAATGCTCCATTTTTTTTTTTATTTACTTAAAGGATTACCGCTTATCTTCAGACAAGATAATGCAAAAACAGATGCTGCAGGTCAGTTTGAAGAACATGAGCTTGCTAGAAGCCTCAGCCCACTTCTGTTCTGTTATGCTGATAAAGAACAGCCAAACTTGTAAGTAATACTGCAAGAAGAGCAGACACGAGGAACCTTGCAAAGTATGAAAGTAATTTACAGAGGATCAGGTGCTGATATATTAGTATGAATATCATGTAGGAAAAGTTTTTCCCTATTAAGATGACCTGTTAAGTTATTAAGCTTCTAAATACCGAAATAAGTGTATTGGATCTTTAGACATTTCCTACTGAAAACTCCTTGGTTGGCTGTGTTGTGTCTGCAGGCTGCTTTGGTTTTGTTTTGCACGTTTTGAACTCATGCTTCTTTTGTAAGAAAGTCAAAAACCTTTTTGAAGAGACTTACCGAGTTGTATAAATTACTTTGTTACCACAAAAAAACCCCACTCCAAACCCCTAATACTAAACTCTGAATGTTAACAGAGAAGCAGTAGCAGTCACTTAGTAGGAAGTCCACATGCAGCAGAGCTATTGTGATACTGATGTAGAAGGAAATGGCAGTATTTTGGAAAGGAAACTTTTCAGCCTCTTTAACTGGCATCAAGGAGAGAACTTGCTTTTTCCATGAAAATAAGAAATAAGAACATGATTTAAAATAACCGTATCTAAAATGTTCTGGGATTTTTGCTCAAATGAACACGACAAATTTATCACAAAAATTTATTCCAACTTTTTTCTTTCAAATTAAAAAGACACACAAATGTCGTCGTCGTTAATCAGTCTGAAAATTACCAAGCCTTTTACTACATGACATGGTCACTGAATCTTGACCAACACGTTAAAAGAGCTTATGGCAGAAATGCAGAATGAATTACTCAAGAAAAGATTTATTGTGGCTTCTAATGCTTTTATATTAAAACACAGGTGTTCTTTTTGTATCTGGGTATGTGTTTGATCATCAGCATCGTGTTGATTTAAATGAGTAAATCTTTGTGGTTTTTTCTTACTCTTAGTTGTACAATGCGGGTTGGAAAAGGAATCCATCCTGAAGGTATGCCTGGCTGGTGCCAGGGTTTCTCCCTGGATGGTGGTAGCGGTGTCAGAGCCCTTAAGGTGATCCAGCATGGAAACCGGCCAGGCCTCATTTATAACATTGGTATGTGTTGACAGGAACATTTGAGAAATACTGTAGAACTTGGTAACACATGATGTCAGTGACGCCAGAAATGGAACAACTACAGCAGGGAAACATGTGTTGTTAAAGGTTTTGAGGGTCCAGAGAAAATTCTTAAACAAAAAATAGTATTCTGAGAATTTTTACGTCTTGATTTTGAACTGCATTAGCTTAAAAATCAGGTTTCGGTTATTTTTATATTTCATCATTGAGTGTTAGTTACTGCATTTACAAACTGTTCTTTCTGTTTCTGTATCTTTACTCCCCCTGAATGTTACTTCTAAGTACATTTGAAATCCCACCACATTACTGTCTTTGATTGTTTTGAGTGTCTGTATACTGTAGCTGTTCAGCCATGTGCTACTTCTGTGGTTTTTGCTTTGTGGTGCCTCTGTAGGCTGATGAGGAGCACAGCGTCTGTCTTCCTTGTGCTCCTATGTACATAAAGTGCAACTTCCTCGGAAGATTTTAGTTTTTAATTAAATGACAGTTTGGAAGTTACTCCACAGTGATTTTTGAGGAATTTTTCATATGTTCCATTGGTTTACTTGTGATGGGAAATAGTTTTTTTTTGTTTTTTTATCTTCAGTGTTTATCATCTCTAAATTGTACTTGAGAAACAACGGATAATAGATACCATAAAATTACATCTACTGTTTAAAGTAATGTTTCAAAAAATGGCAGTGGTATGGCAGAAACAGCACATCTGAGGAACTGAAGAAGAAGAACTTTTGGTACATGAAATATATTGTGGCAAATGTCTTTTGTTTTCTCTTGTAAATAATAGCTCTATTTTTAACTTGTTTTTATTACTAGGTATTGATGTTAAAAAAGGTAGAGGCCGTTATATTGATACGTGCATGGTAACATTTGCACCCCGTTACCTATTGGACAATAAATCAACCTACAAGCTTGCCTTTGTTCAGCGGGAATTTGCCAGAGGTCGGGTAAGATGCTTCCTTTTTGTTCCTTGTTATTGCAATACCTGTAGTTAGTCACAGCATCTTCTAACCAAAAAGAACACAAACATTATCCTTGAAAGTATTGTTGGCTGGTTATGAGGATCTTTCTCATTATTCTAATACTAGCATCCCCCGACCAGATTAATGCTGTGTTTTTATTTGAGAGATACATAGATTCATACGGTATTAATACAGATAGGATATGTGTTTGCTAATTTCTGTTACCAGGGAACATCCAATCCTGACGGCTATATCTCCCGTCGTGTTCCACTGGCCACGTAACGATTATGATCAACTATTATGTGTGAGACTAATGGATGTCCCAAACTGCATTTGGTCTGGGGGCTTTGAGGTCAACAAAAATAACTCGTTCCATATTAATATGAGGTAGCTATTACATATAAATCTTCTGTAGCATACTTCCATTTTTTGATAGAAGTAGTTTTTTAACACTTATGACTGTGGATAACGCAGATCAGAAGCCTCCCTCTCTTGCACGTGTTTGTTCTTGTTCAGGGACACCCTGGGAAAGTGTTACTTCTTAAGAGTAGAAATTACTCTTCAAGGAGCCACGTACCGCATTGCGTTCAGTGACACAGATCAGTTACCTCCACCTTTCCGCATAGACAATTTTTCTAAGGTAAAAGCAAAAAATAACTTTTTTTTTCCTTTTATTTTTTAGTAAAAACCAAGAAAAATATGAGTTATTTTATGTTTGTTAGAAGAGGGAGCTGACTAGCTTGTGTAATGAAATAAAATGAAAGTGTGTGTAGCAAGAGGTATTTGTATATAATAACTGTAAATTTCTGAACTTTTAGTAAAAATTGGTAGTACTTAACTATGTCATCTTGTTGAAATAATAGTGCTAACATTGTGGCTTTAATGAATGCATTAAAAGTCTTACAAGGAAGAGCATTATTACTGGTGAGAAAATTGTGCTAGGGTGATAGTTTGTAATCTGTTCTGTGTTATTTTCAGCAGTTGAATAACCTGTAAAAAGAATTCGGGCTACTGCTGCCACTTCCTTTCTCTCTGGCTTTGGGCTTCCATGTCAGTGATTATAAAAATTAGAGAATTTACTTTGCTCATTTTACAGTAACTTACTGATTGCCTTTTGATCAGAGTAAGGGACAGAGCTCTTAGTAGTTATTGGTTCTCATTCTGTATTTTGGTACTGAACTATTAAATAAAACCGGGCAAGCGTCTTAATTTTGATTAGAAGGGTTTGAGATGTTACCATGGGACTAAAGACATTTTGAACCATGAATGACAGATAAAAGCAAAGATGGTATTTCTCATCCCTTTGAGACTATCTTTAATTGAGACCCAAATGGAAGGAAATGCATATGAAACCATTGAGGGGGCAGGGAAGGAGTGAGGTGAACATGTTTCAGTGATCAGCTCCTGAAAAATGAGCAAATGATAGCCAAAAAATCTGATTAACAATTTCTGTGTGAGACCAAATCCTCTTTTGTAACTATTACAGGTCCCAGTTGTTTTTAATCAGCACGGTGTTGTTGAGCCAAGACTGTACACTGAAGTGAAGCCCATGACCTCTCTGGATTATGCATGGGATGAACCTGTCCTGCCACCTTTTATAATGCTGACAGTTAAGGGGGCCGGCTCCTCAGAAATCGTCTGTAGCATGAATGACTTCCAAGATAGCAAGCAGCTTTACTATGAAAACTTCATTTATATTGCTGCTACATATACTTTCTCAGGGTAATTCTTCATATGCTATATGAAAATATTTTGAATGTTCACTAATATTCTCTTAATGGTTGCCATTTGAAAAACTTTCAAATGCAGCTAAACTTTTGTCAACCTTGCAAGCTAGCAGAAGAAATACCGAAAGTCAGAAGTTGAGTCTGGCACTCGGTAAGCTGTGTATCTCACCTCCTTTGGTCACGGTAACTTAGCTTGATAGGTGCCGCTTGCCATTGTATATTTTATCACATAGTGAGAAAGAGTTAGCATATGGCATCTGCTGTGACCCCAACTGTCATCTCAGAAGAGCAGGGATGTTTAGGGTCACATCTGGGGGCTTAACTTCATTTGGCGCGTAAAGAAGACTTGACTACAGGACATACCTATTTATGACGTGCCTGTGAATTTTAAACTTGCGCTAGTTTATATGCTATTGAAAACAGCTATGGGAGATTGATAGATGTTTCGTTGCTTTCCTCAATATAAGGCAGAAAATTTTCTTTGGGATTCATCTGCTTTGCCTGTGCAGTTCCTAGTCGCAGTGAGAAATCAAAGCCCCTCTTAAGAATGTACTCAAATTGACAGCTTACACTAGTAATTCCAAAAATAACAGGAGGGGGAAAAAAAACCCCAACATAAATTTTTGTCTGGCTATGTTGGAAGTGTAAGCTTCCTCTGTTGGATTTTGTTACAGATCTAATTCTGTCTACAGAAGCAGCAGCTACTCTGAATAAACATGATGATGTTTTCTTTGTCTTCTAGTTTACAGGAACCAAGTGTAAGACCAGTTGCTTCAAATAAGGATGCTGCATATGCAGAGCTTGTCCTTGATGTTTCTCCAAAGACTCAACGAGTTGTACTGAAAAAGAAGGTATCAAGACACATTTGATTTTATTAAAATGCTGTTGCTCTGTGCTGAAGTAAAATCATAGGCTGGGAGAAGGAAAAAATAAAAACATTTTCATGGTAACTTTTAAAGGGTAGAGACGGACTCTATGAAAGCGACAGGTTGTTCCAATTCAGGTTGCCTGAACTATGGTGGTGCTTCCATATAAGACTTTTATGGGGGCAAGGGTGACAGAAACAGGAATTGGAATAAAAGTAGTAAGGAACATTTTAAATTCCTCTAAGACAACCAAGTGTGGTAATTGTATGTTGGATGTTGTAATGAAGTGACAAGGTAGGGTATGCTTCCTTTTTGGTTGCATTGTAAGGCAAATCCTCTATTTCTGGAGCTCTTAAGAAATAGAAACTGTATTTAAATATTGCTGAGATTAAAAATAGCTTGTAAATACAGCTCTGCATCTAACAGTGCTAACATAGGATGCATATTCATTGAATATTGGAGTTGAATTAGGAGTTCTTATACAAACTAGTTTCTAATTCAGGGCTTTGAAGTTAAATATGTACAAGTCATTCCAAGAATTATAATGCAAAGCATCTGATAGCAAAACAGAACATAAATATTTGCTTTGTACTGCTGCGTTCATTTAAATGTTGAATTTCTATGCACCAGGAGCCAGGAAAACGATCCCAGCTTTGGAGAATGACGGGCACAGGAATGCTTTGCCATGAAGGTTCTTCAGTTCCTCATAACCCCCATAAACCTTCTCCTCGGTCTGTGGACTCTTGCATGATTTTAGATATTGCAGGTCTGGCAGCTGTCACAGATAACAGGTATTGCAAATACAGTTTCTCGGGAAGCTGATGTAGGTTCTAACCATGTCTTTGAAAGAATACTTTAACATTATATTCTCTGAATAAGGAAAGATTATTCTGAAAGCGTGTGGAACAGCTAGATTTTATCTGGCTTCGTGAATGGTCCTCATGATCATTTTTGTGACTTGGAAGTATTTTTAAAAGCATGACTAATGTATTTTCAGCAGCAGACTGTTAAAAGAGCGCTTCAGAAGTGAGATTAGGAAAATGAGGTTGAACAAAATTAGAGTAAGTGTTCATCATTAACACATCTCAAGAGTAAAACTGACAAGTTGTAATCTGCTAAGTGTTGGGCGGCATGCTTTCGTTGCAGGTACGAGCCCCTGATGTTGAGAAAGCCTGATCGACGGCGCAGTACTACCCAGACATGGAGTTTCTGTGATGGAAAGTTGACCTGTGGTATTCATGGACTTGTTGTCCAGGTCAGTACTGATTATATATGTTGAACTTGACTGTTGCCGATACAGATGGCAGAGTCATTTGGGCTTAGTATTGAAGTGAACTAAAAGCTTTGAGGCCTAAGTTCAGAATACGGAGGAAACCAGACTTGCGCAGATGGCTTGTGTGGTTTAAATTCATGTGTGAATGTTCTTACCAATTTCAAATAATTAAACACCTTGCACTATTAATTTGAAAGTAAATAATTAGAAAATTAATAGTACATCACTGTTAAAAATGAACAGCATAGTGATAAATAGGGCCTTGATATTCTCGCACATACCAAATGTGAAAATGCTGCAGATTGTGTCAGTATGACTGATGAAAGTCACGACTTGTGTATAACCATGCACTTCTCAGAATCATGGTTCTAACATTTTAGTAGTAAGAGTTTTAAAAGCAGTTTCAATTGTTTACTCTTTCTTTGTGTTCCAGGAAACTCTGACTTGCAGATAGCTAACACCTGCAAACTATTTGATAATTCTGCCTGCTGATATTAGAATTTGTAGGCACAGAAACCTGGATTGCTTTTACAAATTCTAGAACTAAAAGTCAAAGAATTTTGTTGCTTTTTTTTCTTAAAGGGTTTCAACGATATTTATCCACTGCTCACAAACAAATTTGAATGTTATCCTGCATATTGTTGAAATAGCAAAGTATGTTTGTAATAAATTATTTCTAATGTTTTATTTTAAAAAATAAATTGTGCCAGCTATGTCAGTGGGAAGTCAACCTCAATTCAGTGGCAAAAGTACCTTCATAGGGAATATGTTAGCTCTCTGATGAAAGTGAGTCTTCTGTGTGCACAGTGAATCTGGAATGGATCTGTAGGGTATAAAATGGTAGTATCACTTTGAAAATCTTGCAGATAGGACACCATCATGCTCTATTGGAGATACCTTCTCCCCGCCCCCCCCCGCCGCTCTCCTTTCTTTTCTTGTTTCTAAATTCCTTTTAATTTGTTGTTTGTTTTTACAAAATGTGTGCTTTGGGTATTTCTTCATCTTAAAACAGGGCAGCAATGACAGAAAACCAGCATCTTGGTCGTTTTGCTCATTCTTTAATAGAAGGACAATATGTGTCCTCTGTGAAACTAGAAATATCCTGCCAACACTACTTTTGAAGTTTCAGATGCTTGTTCTGATGTAAGCAAAGAAGAAAAAGTATGGAAAGTACTCTGAAGCCTTCACAATAACCTTTTAAGACTGTATTTGTAGTTCTGCTCTGATTAACTTTAAAGGAATGTAGTAGCCATAAAAGGCTCCAGCCCTCAGAGTAGATACAGTAAGGATAGCAGCAATGTAGTGTTCCTTTGCCACCTTTGATGCTCTGTTTCAATTGTAATCCCAAAAAACACATCTAGAGAAAAATATTTTACTTAGTCGTATGATGTTGCTTTGATAATTTTGTGATCAAATTACTGTAACTTAGTAAGTTACTACTTGTCAGTTTGAAGCAACCAAAAACGCTGCGTTGCTGTTTTAAGATGTTGACTCAATAAGGATTTGCATTCTCATCTTCAGATGCAGAGTTCATCTTTTATAAAGTTTTCTGTAATTTTGAAAATACTTTCAGGAAGGACTTCCCATGGTTGATCATGGTATGATGGCTTCAGTTTCTGAATGCGCAGTGGGAATACTTAATTTTTGATCTTGGCCGTTTCTTCTAACTAACAAGCTGATTAAGTATGAGTTACCAGAAGCTTTAGTAATATCAAGTAAATGCTGCTTTTCTTTTAGTTCTGAAGAGTAAGGAGAGGAAAGTAAAATACACTTTTAAATTAATGTATGTAAATAGTTATCTGAAACCTTTACCTGTCAATCACTCCCCCCCCGCCCCTTTTCTTTCTTTCTCCAGGCAAAGGGAGGAATACTAGGTCTCCATGATGGAGCAGAAGTTGTTCTTGGTCCTGATACCTCACTTGACCTTTTGGGGCCTGTTCCACCTGAACAGCAGTTCGTAAACCAAAAGATGAGGCCTGGGTCAGGAGTACTAGCTGTTAGAGTCATCCCGGATGGGCCAACTAGAGTTCTGCAGGTGAAGGTCCTTCACTAACTAGAATCTAGTTCATTATTTGCTTATATTTGGAATACCTTTTCCTGTATTACATCTCCAAATTCTTACAAAAAGTTACCTTTATGAAAGGGGAAGGGGATATCATAAAACAGGAATAATTACAACAAAAGTTTTTGTTGTACTTATTTTTAAAAGAAGGTAACTGTATAAGGTGGAACAATATAGCTGTTATTTATCAATGGGAAGCGATCGTTGTCATAATTTATTTATTTATCAGATAACGGATTTTAACCAACGTAGAAATGATCGTTTATCCAGTGAAGGAGATGGACTTCCAGTTACGGAACAAGATCTACGCAAGTTTAAAAACCCAGATACAGAGCAGGAATTAGAAGTAAGCTATTACACCTACTATCTGTCTCTTCTGTTTATTGTTTTCCTTTCTAGATTTTAGGGGGGGGTGGGGGGGATGGTGTTAACTTTTCCCCGTGATGCCCTCTTGTTATGGACTTGTATATTTTCCTGCTAAAACTCCTCATTCTTAGAAGCTGGGCTTATATGTCTTAACACCTATTTATTTGAAGACTAATCATTAATGAGCTGTTCAGCCTCTCTGGAGATGAGTCTAAAAAAAATTAATGTCTTTGCAGAAGTATTCAGCAGCACAGTTTTTTTTCAGTGTCGGTTTGTTAGTGCGGGGTTGGTTTTTTTTCCTCTTCACATATTCTTTTCTCAGGTGCTTGTGAAACTGGAAGGTGGAATAGGATTATCTTTGGTCAACAAAGTTCCTGAAGAGCTAGTGTTTGCAAGCCTCACAAGAATTAATGTCCACTACACACAATTGTCAACAAGTCAGGTGCTAGAGCTCAGTGTGCAAGACATACAGGTATTTGCCGTTTTGAAACAAATGTATTTGTTCATGGGTGTTCTGCAGTTTTTGTTGTCATAATAGGAATCTTTTTAACTTTGTAAACAAGTCAGACTGAGATTTTTCTCTCTTCCTCATTCTTGGCTCTTTGTCATTACATAATGAAAAAGCAGCCATTGAAAGCAGGAGTTCTAATGCTGGTAGTACCGCAGTACAAATCATAAAATCGTAGACTAATATAAATCTCTTCTATTTTTTCCAACTAGATTTTGTTTCTCACTTTGCAGAGTTTTGCCTTTACCTTAGTTTTTAGTTCAGTCTTTGAAATTCAGAATTCACAAATTAAACAGAAGACTGTAATGACTTTTTTCCCCCCACTAAAAAAACTCCTCTAAATTATTAGAATTCTGTTCCAAATATGTAAGATTTCCTTGGAAGCAGAATTGTGGCTACTGATGTAGATTACAGGAGGATACTGTTTTACTGTTTATTGTCACCTATTTAGATTTTGTTGTTGTCTGTCTTGTCCACTCTGTAGGTGGACAACCAGCTTATTGGTACCACACAGCCTTTTATGCTCTTTCTGACACCTAAACTGAGTGAAAATGAACCTGTGGAGACTGGTCCTGCTGTGCAAGTAAATGCAATGAAATTTCCCAGTAAAAATGCACTGACTGATATATACAAGGTAAACCACAATCTTTTGATTGTGCCACACAGGTATTACTCTGTTTAAATGACCTTTCCTGTTCCTAATTTTTACTAGTAGTCTGAATTAAATAATTTGGAAAATACACTTTGACTTAATATGCTATATCCACCTTCTCACGTTCATAGTGTTTAAAGATACAATACAGTGATGAACAGGATAATGAATATATTCAAAAATACAACAAATTAGGCCAGAGCCCTCTTTGTTCTTGTCTGTGACCTTATTTTTCAAGCCAATTATTCTCACCTCAGAACTATGATAGGTACCATTGTAGCATAGTGAACCCAAACTTCTATGCTATGCTTTCATGAGTTGTGTACAAGGTTATTTACTTCTCTCTGATAAGCTCTTATCTTGCAGCATAAACCCTGTTCTGTGTACTGCAGCTATTGATGTTGTTTAGAAATTTATCCACCTCACCACATTGTGAGGGCAAATCTGAGTTGGTTATCAAGACCTGTTTTCTCACTTCGTATTCACCCACGTATTTTTACGCTATTTTTGATTTTGGTGTTGGAAAACAGATAAACATCAGAGTCTGAAGTGTTAGTATTAGGTAATAAAGCACAATACTACCAAAAAATTGAATCATCACTAAGTTGCAGGTAACTTTAAGTGAAGAAAAGTACCAAAGACATTTTGAAGGTGGGAATCTTACTATGAACCCATTCCAGTGAAAATATTCTGTCAAAGTGGAACACATTGTCCTATTTAATGACTTGCATGGATCATATTTCTAGTGTTAAAACTGTAAACTGAGACTTGTTTATCTTTGTAGCATCTGATGATCACTGCTCGAAAGTTCACAGTTCAAATTGAGGAGAAACTACTTCTGAAGCTATTGAGTTTCTTTGGCTATGATCACTCTGAGTCAGGTATAGTATAAAATTACAAAGACCGGTTTTACAGTATACGGAGGTATTATGATCTCTGCACATAAAATAAGTTAAAAAAGCCTGGAAAACATCCACTGTTGAACAGAAAGCTGGAAACCTAATGTCTCAGTGGCACCTGTAAAGCTTTCATGATTATCATGCTTGTTACAGCGTTCATGTAATGACCCATGTAACATGCTGTTGTCCAGTACGCGGTGGCTGAGCTGTGTGTCTATGGGAAGGAGTCTGGTATTCATCTTAAGTTCCTGTATCTGGATTCATCTAAATTGGGATAAAAGAAATGGTGGTATTAATTTAGCAAACCACTTTGTTTAGTAATGTTTGTTTATTTAAACCCAAGGCTAGAAATGGGATCTCTGTACGTTTGTTCCTTGGGCAGTTCCTCTTGCTTAACTGAAGAAATTTTGGCTGTCTGACCTTTTAGTTGTGGCATCCGCACCCCTGGCTCTAACTGTAATACAAGTTTTCTTCCCTTCAGTGAGGCAGGACAGAACTCTTGAATCTTCTAATTTCATAGATGTTGTTCTAATCCTTCTATTATAGGGTTTATCTGTACTTTGGAAACTTTCTGAAATGTCTGTTTTGGAGTGGCAATTCAAAAAGTCACTTTTACTGTACAGTAGGGTGTGTAAGGTTATATAACAAAACAACTGTTGTGGGGAAAAAAATGGTTCTTGGCACGAATCCAAATGTGGGCAAGCCTACAAATGATGCTCAGGAGTGCTGTGTCTTGCTAATCCCCAGTGTCTTCTGAATTGTCTCTGAAAAAATACGAGTATTATGTTTCCCAGTTTTACAGAGGACTTCAAGACTTAGATTTGTAGTGATGAAGAAGAAAGAAAGATTCTGAGTTACACTCTTACACTGTTTACTGATCTGTCCTTTGTTTTCTTTTACCCTGATGCTTTTGCTGGTTTTTTGTTTCCTTACTTACTGTATGCTCTTTGTAGTTTATCCACTGATGCTGGTGAAGTCATCCAAGATTCAAACAAAAATCATTTTGTCATTTACATTCAACATGTTTTATTGTTCAACCTGAGACTTTTGTCTTTCCCGCTGCCTTCTCACACCACCAAGATGCTCTTACAAATAACACATGAACCTGTTAGTGTCAACCACATTTGGCTCACTCTGTACGTAAATGATTTACTGAATGTCTTCCATGTAGGTATTTTGTCCATTCTGTAGTGATAATTGAAAAGCTTGACATCTTTACTTGCTTTGTACCTTTTATTGATGGTTGAGCATGTAAGGAAATACAGAAAAAGCAGAGGAAAACATATTGTAAGACCATGACTAGACAGTAGGAAACAGTGCGTAGTTACGTTTGTATCACCTTGCTTCTGTATGCTGAAAAAGAATTTAGAAGTGAAACTAAAAGCTCAAATAACTTAAACTTGGATGACTTTTTTATTTAGCTACAAATACATTCAGGTTTTAGAGGTGCAGGCAGATCTGAAGAAAAATTCTTGAGCCTCAAAGTCAACTTCATGTCACAAGGCATGACTAACTTTGCTGGCTATACTAGCAGTTGCACATACTTCTTATTTGTACAGAGAAACTAATAACTTTACAGAGTATGCATTCATAACCCCATATTTATTTATATATAATCTGTTCTGATTCCGATGTTTTGTCTGGATGCAGAGGTTGAAAAGTACGATGAAAACCTCCATGAAAAGGTTGTTGAACAAGGTGGAGCACAAAAGCGATACTACTTTGAAAATCTGAAAATTAGTGTGCCTCAAATAAAGTTGAGTGTCTTCACTTCCAACAAGCTACCTTTGGATCTCAAGGTACGCCGATGCATTTACAGAGTGTGCTTCCATGTAAAGAGATTCCATGGTAGGAGAAAAAGGGAACAGAAGCTTTAACTTACTGCTATTAATTTCCATTTACTCTTCCATTATTTAAGTTACAAATCCTAGAAGTTTCAGGAAAGTCTGTTACTTAATTTGCATAATTTCCAGTGTCGTCTTTAATATATTTCACTCTTGTAATTTCAGTTGAAGCACAGCCAACTTCACCTAATAACTCACTACTTTACAAAGGATCTTACATTAATGGTAGCGTAGAGAGGCTTAAAGGGAATGACTATCGTTTGTGAGGGCTGAGGTGAGGGTGAAGAAAAATACGAAGTTACGCAACGTAGGGAGCAGAAATACAGGACAACTCTTGAGTGGTTTCATCCAAAAACTGTTGCCTCATTGGAGTTGGAGGGTTTGCATGAGCGCTGCGCAATTTGGTTCAATATTAAAGTGAATTCAGATTGAGTACAGACTTAGGTGGAAAATCTGGTCCTTTTCATGTGGTAATGAATGTTCTGACACAGAACGTCGTTCAAGTGAATTGGGGATTCCATATTACAGCAAGACGATAATCTTGTCCAGTATTCCCAGCTTGTGTGTTGGGACCTTCCTGGACGTAGTAAGGTGCCAACGGTCAGCAATATTTTGGTTCCCTCTGAGCTAATACAACTGATTTCCTCCAAGGTGTGGGAGCTGAAGCAAAACCAGCCAACCAAACCATAAAAAACCCTCCCTGTTGTGGAGGAACTAAGCTGCTGCCTGTTGAACTTGTGTGTTCAGAAAACAAAACTGGGACGCTGACCAGGCTTTTTTGTGCTCTTGATATTGTGGGCATGAAGATGTGCGAGCTTTTAAAGAATTTAGTTTTATGGAATGAGTGTGTACCATGGAGTCCTACCAAGATGACCCAGAATATTATCAGTCCTGCATTCTTGTATTGCTTCTACCAAATTCTTGTGCAAAGGGTGACAATTCATGGCTAGCTGTAATATTCCTTACCATTCAACAGTATCAGCAGTGTCTTGAATGTGTTTGCGCTTTAGCTTCAACAGAAAAATGCTTATCACCTGTTTATCTCAAGTTTAAAGAGAGAAAACAGTTAGTGGTGAGTGCTTTTAAGAAACTAGTAACGTGCAGTGTCCTGTTTGGATTTCCTACCACCTTTGGTATATGATTGCATATGGGTATGCCTTGGCAGCCGCCAGCATTGTTCCCAAAAGAAAACTTGGCATACGCATTTATTTTTTTCCCCCTAATGATAACAGTCACTGACTGTATTCTGTATATTAACTTTCACAGAAAGAGTTCCATTCAGTTTTGTAGCACAGGAGAGTTCAGGGTAGGAGGGAGAGCATAATCACAGTAGAGCCTTTGTAGAAGTTTTTCTAATTACCTCTAATGTTTCTGGCTTGGACATTGCTGTCTGGTAATTTGGTATAGACAGATTATTTTTATTAGGTACCAGTATTAACAAAGTTGCCTTATATAATATCGGATAGTTAAACAGGAAATTACTTCCTACCCAAGTGAATAATGAGGACTACTCTAGTTAGTCATCCATTTACTGAAAAAATAAATAGGTCTTTTCTTACTTGCAAACTTAAATCAGACCTGTAACTTACCTTAATTGCCTGCAGATGGCAGAAAAACACGTATTACTTGCTACCAAGCGTGCTTTAGTGGTGAATGTAGAACGTTGTAACAGGAGTGTCAGGCTTCTTGCCATCTTCAGATTTTCTGATGTTGGTGACTGTGCAGGTGCCATTATCAAGACCTGAAATAGAATGGATCTCTTCCTTTCTTTCTTAAAAGATTAGTTTTTTGTTAATTTTTCCAAAATTATTTTAGTTATGTGTGTGTAGATACAGATGTATAGCTTTTCCACCTTACCTGTGTTTTTTTATGTGTAGACTGTACATGTTACAGATGGCCCATGGGCTAATTACTCTCTAAGTTTTCTTCCGTGAAAATAATTGAAAAAGCTGGTTTAAAGAATTTCAATATGCCATATAATATTACGAAATGAGCCATAGGCTTGCAGGAAATTATGTATGTTATTCCAGCTCATCCTGACGCTTAATCCATTCATAGAACTTAAGCAGGGTGGAAAATAGCGAGTTTTGTCTTTACTATGTATCAAGGAAATTGATTTAGGGTTCAGTTTAAGTGAACACTAGAGCAGTTATGCTAAGCACGGAATCTTAAACACATTTTGTTTTTGAAATATTCCAATCAAGTGTAGAAAACATTGCCTCAGGAGGAGTGTTTAATGACTATCAAGTTACTGAAGAAGTGCAATTCTAATAATCGATCGTTGCTTACAAGTAAAAGGTTTATGGAGTGATTGCCCTCTGTATCAAAGCATCTACATGGCAGTGGCAAACTACTCTAGCAGCTTTGATTCATTACCTATTTAAAGATTAATTAATTTGGGTGCTGTGAATGAGAGGTAGAAAAATTAAAGTAGCAATATCTTTTATTTAATTAGGCGTTGAAAAGCACGCTGGGATTTCCTCTAATCCGATTTGAAGATGCTGTGATTAATCTGGATCCTTTCACAAGGGTCCATCCATATGAAACTCAGGAGTTCATCATTAATGACATTCTGAAACACTTTCAAGAGGTAAGTGTCACAGATTTTATTGTGGAAAAGGCTGAACTTCTCGACTGATGAGTTCTCTACTGAGGGTGCAGGAACCCTTTCTTGACTAGTTAAGTGTTTGTGCTTTATTGCTTGTTTGGTATATGGAGAAATAGCACCACGTGCCTCTAAGAACACGCTGCATTTTAAGATTAAAGTATTGTTGATCTTACTGGTATTTCTGTGTTCATTCAGTACAACTATCTGGGTTTGTGTATGCTTTTGTTGTGGGTGGGACTTCCCCCCCCCCCCCCCCTTTTTTTTTTACTCTTGTTGTTTTTTTTGGGGGGGGGCCTCCCCCCCCCCCCCTCTTTTAATTAACCTTGGTAGTGTTAACATGATCCATAAGTGGTATTTCATTTTTTCCTGTTGATTTTATAGGAGCTGCTTAGTCAGGCAGCAAGGATTCTAGGTTCTGTGGATTTCCTTGGCAACCCTATGGGTCTATTGAATGATGTTTCAGAAGGCGTTACTGGACTTATAAAATACGGCAATGTTGGTGGTCTCATAAGAAACGTCACACATGGAGTATCAAACTCTGCTGCAAAGGTAATAATTATGTTATTAAAGTTTGCTAAAACAAAAAGCAAAAAGTAGTCAGGAAACAAGTAAAATAGAATTATTGACCATCTTTAAATTGTTTTATGTGCTGTTTGTTTTGTAAAAATTGTGTTTGAAGTGTAGATCTTTTATTGAAACGTGTGTGTGTGAGTGCATGTGTGTACACACATATATGCACATACACTTCAGATTGCCAGAAATCCTGCAGGAGTCAACGAAACCACTCAAGGCCTTACTACTGATACACATACATTTAGCAGATTGAGTGAGAACTAGAATGTTGCTCAAGTGTGGCGTCCTCTCCTATGTGCAAATGAACAAAGTTATATTATATTATGCAGAGGGAGGACATTATAGGAATTTGGAGTATTTAAGGAGTTATTTAGTATAACAGTTGTTGTTAACTTTTATTTTTGGAAAGTGATTAAGCTGATGTGAATATCAATTATTATGAGTTATAAATGAGTAACTTTTTTTTTTTCTGTAAGTTTGTTGCCACATAGCAACAAAATAAGGAATTCCTGGATTGCTATGCATTTATCTTTAGTTTAATTCCGAAGTCTCTGCATGGTGAACATTCTTTTGTTCTTCTGGTAAGATTGAGAGAATTCAATTATATCAGTGTTATCAGTGAAAATAATTATCTTTAGTGCCTGAGAGAGGTATGATCTGACAGAGCAGCCAAAAATAGCAAGTGGTTTTGATCATGGTCGATACTGTGCTTGATACTGAAGAAACATATGTTGCCTTGGAGGAAAAAAAAAAAATCTTGAAATATTTTTCATTACATACATGGTGTGTCAACATGTACTGTAAATGAACTTTGTGATCATGGGTAGAATTGGAATAATGGTCCTTCACATAAGGATGTGTTGTTAAGGTTTGTTTTTGTGAAAATTCGTTAGTTCCTATTATTTTTATTTTCCAAACTGAGAAGTTTGTACATGTATATTATCATGGTTCATCCTTTCACAACCTATTGTACGTACTTGTATATGAGGAAATGTACTTTCTTCCCCACATTAGTGGGAAAAGGTAATTCAGAAGATGAGAAAGGTGAAAGGTAGAGTTTGCTTAATTACCGGTAGCTCAAGACTAATGTCATCAAACCTAGTTAAACTGCTGTAGAGATCCCTAGGCCATCACCAAGCGCACAGCTGTGAGCGTATCTAACCCAAATAGTTGAACCGTGAGGAAGGATGACATACACCTTCTCTGTCATAATTATCTTGTTCCCAGTATTAGCCTGTTTTGGACAATTTGAAGAAATTCAAACAAAATGCCACATTGTTGATATTCATGTCTTAATCCCATACGAAGTGATTCTGTGATTATAAGCTCTGCAAATACAATCTTACCCAAGCAGCCTGGTAGAATGCTTACTGAGCTTCTGTTAGGCAGTATCCATCTGTGCAAATGAGTACTTTTGTCCATACTTTCTACTCGTGGTTCTAGTCTCTTGTGACCCATCCACTCCACCCAATAGAGTTTGTTTCTTTAGAGTTTCCTTTCTAGAAAGTGTTGTTTCCTCACTGCAGTCACATCTGCAGCAACAGTCTCATAAATCTTTCTTTAAAAGGCACGAGCCTTCCTACATTTCCCACAAGGGCAAGGTCATTCTTTGAACTTTGGAGTCATTTGTAACCAAGGGGTTTGTGAAGGAAGATTTTCAAAGGCAGAAGGACAGTTGGATGCTGAACTCCTTTCAAAATTCAATGGGAGCTGAGTGCCTGCTTCCCATTTATACCTTTGAAAATCACCCCATGTACTATTTATCTGCTTTCCCAGGTATTTTTTTTCTTCTTGATATATCCAAAACGTCTGCGATGCAAGTCTTACACAGTTTCCTTTTAAAAACTTTTTATGTGGATTATGTATTTGTCCTTTCAGAACAAGGAAATAATTATATATCCTTTAGGAAGGCTTAACAGTACATTATGGAACTCCTTGATTAATCCTCCTTCTAGAGGGTGGATCTTAATTCTGCTACATAGAAGATGATGATAAAGAAAGCTGAAATAATCAGGGTGAATTCTTATATGTTGAATGAATATGTGAATTCTATATGTTGCACTGCTTTTAGGCATCTAAATCTGTTAGAAAACTAAGCCAGGAATGTCCATACGATAAAAAATTGACATTTCAAGTACTACTTGTGATGTATTATGTACATAGTACAGCACAGAACTTTGTCTTTTACTCCTTTCTACTCTACCCTGTATATGCCTTATGATCATGCCTAGGATATGTGAAGCTTTGTTAAAGAGAAAAATGTACGGGGAAGAAAATAATTCCAATTACTCAAGAAAAACATGACTGAAACAATAGATCATTTTCATCTTGCTATTGGTGCTCTCTGGGGGGAAAATATTTTAAAGACTATTTCACTGCACAAATTTTCACCCGATTCAGCTTTGCCATAGAGGTCCTCATCTTTGCAGCCTATTCTGTGGAGCTGGTAACTAAGGCAGCCAAAACTAGATGAGCCTGTCTTCTGCACAGAAACCGATGGCTAGGGAAATATCCATTTTGGTTGTTTTGGGTACCTGACTTTTGAAGTGTCCTAAATAAAAATCTGTCCTAGATTTTAAGATGAGTTAGCTTTTAAGGTGTGAGTAGGTAGATAAACAAACAATACAATAATCATCACTTTAAAAGTAACACTGCTTGACTGAATTGAAAAGTAAGCTATTTGAGTTGTATCTGGTTTTGTCATTTTATTGCTTTTCTATTTTATAGTTCTGTTGATTATCCCTGTAATGGCTTTTCCATGCATTTCAGAACACGCAGTGGGTAATGCCTTCTTTCAAGTGGAGAGCTGCAGTGTATTTAAGTTGGCACAAAACCTTAGGTTAAATAAAGTTCACTACAGACAGTTTTGTAGTTTTTATCCCTTGGAGACTCCAAGTTCTGTATTTTAAAAAGGTCTTTGATCCTAAATATAGACACCTGAGGGAATTTCATTCCCTCTGAATGGAGACTTCTATAGTTGCCATATGCGTAGAGATGTCTTGCATTCTTGGCATCCACACTTTTTTTTTTATTTCCCCCTTTAGGCATGATAGTACTAAATCCTAAATTATTCCTGTTTCAGAGGTGTTTCAATTACAAATGAATATTGAATAATGAATTAGCTTCTGAACAAAAATGTTCTGTAGCTTGTGTTCTCCAAATGGAAAATGGGTGTTGTGCTGACATAATGAGATTCCTGGTGGTAAAGGACTGAAAAGATTAATCAGCTTGTCAATACTGCGTTTAATTTGTCTGATTCTTTCAGCCCTTACAAAGAATTCTGTTATCTTTTACAAATTATGAGCACATAGTAATGTAGTTGTTATGACTCCGCAGCTAGGCTTAGTTTCTGGGCAGGGAGGGAGGGAGAGAGATGTATTGGATGGAAATAATTGTTGTGTCCATCCCTCCCCCCCCCCAAATCAATAAACTTCTTCAAAGGGCTTAATTTTCATACTGAACTTTGAAGTTTCCAGTGAGCAATTTAATTAGGCTTCTTAAGGGAAGGTAAACCATCAGCCACATTTGCATTTCCTTGTTAGGAGTTTGTGGAAGCTTGCAGTTCGGAGAGGCAGGCTTCCTTAGGCTTGGGAGCAGGCACCTGAGATGCCAGAACTTACCTATAGAGGGGTTGGAAGAAACAGTTTGGTGGATGTTTGTTTTCTGTAATGGCTGAGGAAGAGGCACAAATGAACTTCTGCCCTGGGCTTTCATTCCATGTATTTATTTTAATTCAGTTCAGAGTGATGGCAGAGGTGTTTAAGTGATGAACAGAGAGATACGAAAAGATGTAGGGTGTTGGAACCAGCTAAGGAAATTGTAAGACAAGTAAGGATATGAATATTGCTCCAGGTGAGTGTTTGACATGGAGGCATTTCTAGAAAAGGAGTGTGAAAGCAACACAAAGGGAAATAAGAGTTTTAACCCTTGTAAGATAAATCACAGCAGAATCTCAAGTGGTTGGCAGTGGCAGAAAAATAAAGATAACTGAATGGAAAGTGAAGAGGAAGTAATAAACAGATTATTTAAAAACAAATCATGAACAAGTGTTTGACTTGTATGAATGTTAACTTTAACAAAACTGGCAATAAGTAAGGTGAGAAGTGGATATAGCAGAGCACAGAAGGTAGGTACAATTTAAGCAGGTTCTACCCTGGAACAGACAGAAATGTTTCTAACGCAGTCAAAGCTGATGGTTCCCTTTTGTTTAAAGTTTCTTAGTTTCTGTAACCAACCACTCCTATATGGTACCATTCAGAAGCAAGAACAACTGGCATTCTCGCATCTTTGGAGACACTGTGGTTCAGTAGTTCTAGGAATATTATCTCAAAACACAACTCAAGTAGCTGGAAAAAAAAGTTGCATCTTGGTGACAGGGAACTTCTGACAGAAGCCTTTGTATATGAAGCCTGAGGAAGAAGTACATGGTGGTGATTCCTTCAGGAGAGTATGAAACAAAATAGTCAGCTGCCAATGTAGAAAGATCATGGTGGCATTTGGGTTCTGAGTTTCCTACCATTTCATATTTTCACAATTTTCCTTTGACTCCCTACTCTTCTATGTAACTGTGAACAGCAGAATGTGTGTGATTACTGGCGGTCTCATTCTGGATAAAAATGAGGAAGGCTGGAATACATGTCATCTTTCTGGGCAACTCTACAGATTTGAATTTGGGTTTTACTTTGGGAAAGCTATCCTTTACAAGGGTAGTCTAGGTATTGAAGTTGTGGGGTTTAGCAGCAAGTGCCATAACTAGTTTTTTCTATTCCTAGAAGTGATTTGTACAGTTCAGGTCAAATGTAGCTTTCCCTGTGTTTTCTTCAGCGTAATCTTAAGATTTTTCTCCTTGTGCCTTCCCAGTATTGTGTGGGGGCTGCTGCAGCTCGTTCAGGTAATGCATCCAGGTGGCACTGCAGAGCATCTCCGGTTTAACTTGCATTTCATTCAGAGACTCGCAGTACACGAGCAGGTTCAAG